TACCCCCATTCTCTCTTATTGCTTCAGACTGGCGTTGAAAAGGGCGGAGGTTTAGGACATACCAGGGTTTGGGATGGCTTTTCTCTTTCGGCTCAGATACCCCCTTTCTTTCTCATTGTTTTGCCTAGGAGGGCTCATAAGGTTGTTAAGGCTGGATTATCAGGCTCCAGTAGTATGCAGTAGTCAAGCATACCAGTACACATCATAATTCTCGGTCTCGCTTGAGTGACGTGGTCATGCCGCGATGGGTAGGCTTCGTATGGTGTGGGTAATTCAAAATGACAAGCAACGATGACAAGCAACGATGACAAAATGACTGGCAAGTCAAATGAGGAAAGTCAAACTAATGATAGCTTTGAGCCGCTCTTTCGAAACAAAAAACGCCACTGGTCGGCTCACGTGTCCCTTTCCTCGGCGGCAAAGTGAACTTGTAGATGGCAACCGCAGTCACCCAATGTGAGGTGAGGAGTGAGTAATGAAGCCCTCAAATCAACCCGCAAAGCTCATCTAACTGACTATGCACCAGCCACTCAGAAAAACATCAAAAAAGAGTTCACCACCGGTGTGGCTACATCTCTTGGTGCTCATGCTGGGATTCGAACTCGGGGTACTCGGATGCGCTTAGCCTGTCGTCGAGTAGGCTGGTTGGCGTAGATAATTGACGTTGACCATTAACCACTCCACCACCCAGCCAGTTTGACCCGACCCGTCGACCTAGACGGGCGCCTGCTGGCTGGTGACGGGAATGGGTTTGAGGGGGGCTGTATACCTTAGCCCTTTTCTCGTTGTCATGTACGGGAAGGCACGAACCGGCCGGGCTTGCCTACCTACCGTTTGTGGATATCAAAATTCACAGCTCTTCCCTTCCCTGACGGAAATCGCCCAACCTCCAGCTCTGGGAGAACAGCAGGCGGTATCAATTGCCTGAACTTATCACCATCAAAACGAAACTCACCCAAGGACCGAGCAAGAAGACGGGACGCTCGAAACACACGAAATGAACACCACCGTGCGCAGCTTTGTCCTCTCGAGGATACAGTACGGGTATAGAACCCCCATCTGCGGCCTAGAGAAGTCTGGCGTGGAGGCGTACCTGAAACAAATCTTTCCTTACAGACACATCGTAGTCAAGTTGGTGTGTTCCTGACCCATTACCACCGATCAACATACTAGGCTCACCAACACAAATACAGGATAACGACCACTAGGAGTGCATTGTCCCCCGAAGACTCACGCCCGAGGAGGAGAATGGGCTTGAGAAGCTCCGCGCCGGAAATGATCCTACTGAACAGCACAAGGGCGGAGGCGCAGATCACGTCGAAGTGAATGGGGATCTCGACTCGGAGGAGATGCAGCAGGCGAAAGAAAAGGAGTACCTCCCCTAAGGTTTATCTCCGAAAAACGTCACCACATTACTTCGTCATATCATAACATGAGGTGAGGGCTTGCGCCCGATGCTCTAGTAGCTGAACCCAGAATCCCACCAATGCTGTCCAACATGCCAATGTCCAATCGCTTCCATATCAGGCTTCCACCATGACGTCTCTCCGCGACCGAAGCCGAGGGCCCGCACGACCGAAACGGGGACGGGCTCCATGAGCCAGAGGCCAGTCTGCGAAAAGTCGTCGGCCAACGGCTGGACGGTGACGTGCAGCCACATGAGCACGAATAAGAGGTTCCCAGCTCTCCTGAGCGTGCGAGGCATCTTTATAATCTGGGGCTTCATGGCCGTACAGAACGTTTGCTGAGTGAGGACGCCGAGCCCCGACAACCAGAAGAAAAGCGCTGGCTTCCACCACTTGGTCTCGGGGATCGCGCTGACGCTTCCGGAACCGTGAAGCAGACCAGAAAGAAGGAAGGCGGTAGACATCCCGATTGCCTTTGTGCTACGCGCCCCCTTTTCGAGATAGCCACGATTTACAGCCCAACTGACTGGGGCAGAGAAAGCATGTCGGAAGGTCTGGTGCCACCAAGCTCCCCAGAACCCGGCTAAGCCTCTGTCCAAGATCTGTGTAAAGGAACCAAAGACTGTTGAGTACTGCCACAGCTCACCTCTCATGGGGAAGACTTTGCTGAGGACGTAGTACTGGAACAGGTCATGAACGGAAAAGACCATGACGAGTGCGGCGTAGAGAATACCGAGTACGGAAGCATGCCGCCATATGGATAGGGCCCATGGTGGGAGAGCCGCGAGATGAGCAGGCAGGATTGACGAATCGGGTCCGAGGAAGAAGTATGGGTCCTCCATGATGGTAACCTTGGCGATGTCGAGGATCATGTACGAGACTGCGATGGGGATGACCTTCCGTCGCAAGAACTCTTTCTCGTCTTTGTAGGTCTGGCACCCCACGAATGTTTCCAACGGGATGGTATCCATCTTGACGAGCTCACCCGTACCAGGGTTCTCCGGGGGAACTGGACTGGGAACCGACGAAACAGCCCAGGTCCAACCTGACTTACGTTAGTATAGAGCTCGTTCAAGCACGTGGGTATAAGCTTTCTTACCGACTCCTCTAAAATTGGTGTAGAGGTCGATGACCCAGCCCAATCGCTCTGAAAAACATCCATTCTCTGGGAAAGTCTGCCAGTAGTACTCGTACTCTTCGAGATTGACTTCAGGGGCCGTGACTTGGTCGGCTTTTCGCATCTTGCTACCAGCTCGCTTCCTGAGTCCAGATCCATTCGTTGAAGCTGCGTGAGCCGCAGACAATTTGGATCTGATTGGAGTGGTGCCACCCTTCCTCCTCCGGACAACTCTTTCAAAGTCGAATTGTGGTGCCGTGAATACCAACATAATCAAGTTAGACAGTATTCCCCAGAAGGCTGACAGGCCGCTAGCATAAGATATGGACATGTTGGTGCTAGAGGTGCCCAGCAAGATGTCAATGTTGAAGATGACGATGAAGGCTAGCACGAGCCATCTTGCCTTGTAGAGCCACGGCCGTTTGGTGTGCGGAAAGGTCAAGTAGAGGATGGGGACGATGAAGCTGGCAAAGATACCATAAGGAAGTACAAAAGGTCGTGCTTCGCCGGCGGCGACGCGAGCTTTGAAGGTAGCACGGTAGCTATCGCGAACTATGGTGGCAAGCAAGGGGGCGCTGATGTTGGCAAGGCTAGGCTTTGTGGCGTTTGCTAATATCGGTGCGGCGAGGCCTGGGATACCCAGTGTCTTGGTGAGGTCAGCTGCCATGTTGTTCCCGGTCCGGACAGTTTCCTTGAACTGCAGCAGATACGAATAGACGCTTCGAACGCCTAATGGTAATCGGTGATGATGATCCAAGAGATGTTGGAAGAAGGGAGGATGAAGTGCTGTATAAATAAAAACGGCATTAATTGCAGCTAGGTGCGTATCTGTCTGACTCGCACATTACACGAGATAAACGAGACACGGCTGAATCTCCGAGTACGGAAAGGCGACAGATTCGTTGGCTTAGCCACAACCAGGATTTTCTGGTTGGAGAGGATGGAAGCAGTAAACACTTGAAGCTTCTTGAGAATAATTGATATGGTTCCGATGTCTGACAAGAGTCTGCCACAAAATTTGGTCCAATGCCCTCGTGGATTTCGGCGTGCTTGGACCAAGTCTTCAGATGTCGTTTCCAAAGCGAACCCGAGTACGGTTGTCGCGAGTGGGCAGAACGGGATGGTTCAAGAGCCCGTAACCGGTTTGAATTGGAGCAAGGTAGTCAGACTGGCAGATAGAGACGAGGGTTCAAAGGTCAAGGCCCCGGGCCAGCAGCAGTGCGATGGGATGAAATTATGCGACGTGTGGCGTGTGTGGGTGAGTTGGATGATAATTATGGATGAGGCGAGTGGGTGTGAATGTGTGCGTGCTCCTGTCGTCCACAGAACATGGCAAGTCAAGATGTGTTTCGCCCCTTTGGGAACAAAACTGAGATCTCAAATAGGTAGCAGATTGTAGAAGAAGGATGGGATGGCAGTGTCATGCGAGCAAGGATGGATCAAGTATCGGGGTGTAAGATAGTGGGCGAGATAATGGGCAAAGGGAAATAGACGAATGGAACTACCTAACAAACAGGGTAAGGGTATTGTTTTCACTAGCTGCTCTCTCGTTTGTTCCTTCCGCGCTCTACACTTGTGTTTTTCTGTCTAATTAAATCGTCTAAGACGCGCTGGCGTAAGGTCGTAGGTAAGCGTGGTAAGCTGAGCCGGCGGGAGACGAGCATAAGGCAAGGTACGCAAAGTCGCCGCATTTTTTCGTCTGACGTCAACCAGGCCGCCGGTCTGTGAAAGAGCCGGAGCCCACTCCTTCCTCTGCTTCCCCTGCACCTGCACCTGCACCACCAGTCGTGTGGTCAGAAGAGGCAAGAGTGTGGAAGGCCCGCCCCACGCAAGCTTCCCGGGCCGCCACCATCTTTGCACGGCACCTGCCTCGGGTGATGGGGCCTTCCCTGAAAATCATCGGCCAGGCGAGGTGGCTCCCTGTCGGATCCGAAGAAGACGAATCATGGGGGCCATTCCTGGTGGACTCAGTCGCCCGCAAGCTGCGTGTAGTGGGCTCATTCGCTCAAACCTCCTATGCATCAGCGTCATGAAGTTGCCTTACCTCAGCACCAGGAGACTCTTTCCTTCATCTCCTACGTCCTACCTACGTACCTAGTATACCACGTGTATACCTAGGTAGGTATGGGAAACTACGCTCCCAAAGAAACGACAATGCATGTACGAGTACGGAGCGTGGAAGCACCGCCACATTGCGATCTTAGAACTTAGCTTGAATCTTCCTCTGCTCCTCTTATTTATCATCGGGTCATGATGAGCTTCGTCTTTCTTCGCCCACCGCTTCGACCATTAGCATATCACCTTCTTTGTCATGTCACCATCCTGATCCACGCCAGCACACCAATACAGGATACACCGAGTCCGCGTCGATACTGGCGATTCAACGAAAGAAACATAGAAACAAAGATGCGGCTCACAGGAGCTGAGCCTGTCAGATAACCTTGCAGCCTTGGAGATTCGGAGGGTAGCAAGGGACCGAGGGGATCTGGCATGTGTCAATCTGCCGTGCCCGATCCTATTTCTCCGAAACCAGCACTTAGACGATGCGACCCTACCTTACATTACCTTTCGGATAACCTTGTGCCTTAAACCAACATGCTAAGACACCATGCACTCACGAACCCTCTCCCCGCGATTTCTGCTCATCTTCTCGCCCCTCGTCTCTTCGACTATCCCATCGTGGTAGAGGTGTCGTCGCCGTCTCCGTCAAGTTCAGCTTATCCTTTGCAGACCGCCACATTGTGTTCCAAGCACCCCCCAGCCAGTACCCCATCGACGTCCAAGTTTGAGAGGACTCGGCACGCACGGGAGTGTCCATATCCACCATCGGAGCCCCTCGCGACTTTGATGCCGTCTTGAAAACTGTCGGAGCCGTGTGGATCGAAGTCGCGAGTGCCGAAGTCGCCGGGCTCGGTGGCCTGGGCCTGGCATTGCTGGACGAAGAGTCTACGGCTGAGTCGAACCTGTCTCGAATGTTCCACGCATGAGACAATCGTGTTATCAGTCGACATCTCCTTGTTTTCTCCATGGGAGGTTCGTGCGTCCCACAGTCTACACTGCCGCCGCCTTGCCTCCTACCGTTCCCTACCGGCTTGACAATGACCAAAGTCGCGATAGTCATGAGTACGCTGGCGACCGCCCATGTGCCAAAGGCCGCCACCGAAAAACTGTACATCGGAATGGGGCCTTCGGACTTGCCTCGGGTGGCATTCTCGTTTTCGTTCGAAAGGTCCTGAAACTTGACAATGTCCGTACTGAGAACCGTCTGCATAGAATATCATTGGTTACGACATCCGATCAGCGCATTCGTGTTCTGCCTTTCTTCCAACAACAATGCTCGACGGGGAATATCTTGGCTTACCGATACGACCGTGACTGGTAACAATATCAGGGCGATGAAAGACAATTGCTTCATCGCGGACGAGTCATCCGCCGTCAGCACCGCGATTGTCTTCATTTGCTGAGTCGAGTGATGCGCTTGCAACCGTTGAATCTAAGCCGTTTAGCGTTCGCTCCCCTTGATCTGACACTCTGAGTCGCCGCGTACGTATTCTTCTCTGTTCCTCGCAAGTTTATCCAGTGCTGATGCCCTGTCCAACAAGTCCTCGATCTCTGCCATTACCAATGTCAACTTCTCCGCAAAGCCTTTGATGTGCGTCAGGATCTCATTGGCGTGGGAATCTCTGAGAGGGTCGAGATGCCCGGCCACATTTTCCACGAAAAACTCTCGGAGACGGCGGAGAACCCGAAGGTTATTCTCAACTTTGATGACACTGCCATGCCGAGTTTCCATCAAGAACGCCATTCTACGAAGGTCCTGAGCGTGGATTGATGCGCTTGCCTCGTCGTCCACCGTCTCGTCATCGTCATACGGATAGACGTAAGGTTTGGTCTGCATCGCATCTCAGCATAGCTCCGGCTTTGCCTCTCATTCCATGTGGCGAGACGGACTCACCAACTCATGGAGCCTCTTCTCCGTGTCCTGGACGTGATGCGAAAACATCCCGATGGACCACTCGGCAGCCGCAAGGAGACTGTCAACACTGATGCGGAATCGCTCGGGGACGTCAAGCGACTGAAGCGCGTTTGTGTCACTCGCCATGTCGTCTTTCAAAGCATTCCAAAGTAGGTTCTGCGTGCCGTGACCCCTTTCCGGATGGTACGATCGGGGGCTGGCGAGCAACCACACTGCCGTGCCCTCGATAATGTCAAAATGGACGTACAAGACCGCAGAGTGCGTCTCCCACCGCGGTGTTCTCGCGGGGTCCGCGTCCTGGGGCAGCGCATGTGAGGGATACTCGCGGATGCTGAATAAGGTGAGGCAGACCTGAATGTGCCTACCGCTACGACCTAGCACCGCCATGCTGGTGGGCTGTTCCTGACCAGGGCCCGAGACCGTCTTCGTACAGCCTTTGAAGCCCGCAAAGCTCATGCTACTGGCGAAGCTCCAGGAGTCACCGCCGCTGGTAACGAAGGTCAAGAAGTGAGCCGGGATCTGGTGGTAGGTCAAGATCTCCAGCAGTACGTCTTCGCTGAGGTTCAGTAGCAGCGAGGTAGGCCACATGCGCTCTAGCAGTCTGGTTACGCTGTCATTAGTGCCCCTTTTTGCTGTTGCGCTTGATTGCTTTCAATGAGCGGACTCACATCACTCGTAACGGAGGGTCCTTTTCAAGGTATTCAGGCTTCCACGGCCCTTGCTTTGGATCGGGCCAGGGCAGTTTGTTTCGTAAGTCGTCAATATCATGTATGATATGCAAGTCGGACTTCTTCCCACCACTCTTTCCGTGGACAACCTCGTCGACATCGAAATCGCCCGCCGCGGGAGATTCACCCCTGCCCAAGTCAATGATGATAAACGGATTATCTTTCCGTCTCTCCAGATCCTCGTCAAATACTTGATGCTTCCTTTCGTCATAATGCTCGATGCGTGCCTTTAGCGTCGCCCGTCGCTCGTCTTGGTAGAGGAGGGAATCTGGGTACTCGGACGCTGCGGCGAGTTTCTCCAGGAAGAATCTCTCTTGCTCGTTCATCATCTGTCCAGGGATCATTCGTTGAAGCGCTTTTTATATCGCTCCCTTTCATGAGATCCGTCAACACAGAGGGCTGGAGTGCTGGGTACTATCCATGTGAGATTCGATAATCGTCAACTTGACTCTCGGAAATTGATTTCCATGCTTTTCAAATATCTGCAAGGCAATGTGGAGGTTAATTCACCTCGGAGATAAATCTGGTGCTTCCGCCTCACACGACACCTTTCGCTTCACACCAAAAGTGCAAGTCCAACTACTGCCCGGCAAGCGACAGGTTTCCAGGTTGTACGAGAAGGCACTTTCCCCAAGATTTCATCACAACGGTCATCGATGTGTTCGATATGAATAGTTGATGCGTGGCACAGAAGAGGGCAGCGGAAGCGTAACGAGTAAGACAAACACGGGAGAGTTCAAGTTCCATCCGACCTGTTCTACTTGGCAAGGAGGATTCTGCCTCGAAGGATTTATATACACAGAGAAAGCTGTACCCAATTCTTTTGTGCATCGTACTACGATACTATTCTTGTTTGTTTACCCTCGTATGGACTTCCTCGCCCGGGCCGTCTTCTTGGCGTCAAGACGCCCGATCTCTTTATCGATCCATGACAAGACCGTCGTAAAGTTTGCCTGTTTCTTCGCGAGAATCATCCTCACTGCATCGAGGGCGAGCCTTTGAGAGAATCTTTCAGTTAGACGGCGGGTTGTCCACAACGTGTCGGGGGCGGAAGATATACATACCACGCAACCTGCGTCTTCTCCACGGCGCAATCGTACTCTGGATACTTTTCCCGCCGAGACTTGCTCGTGAGCAGCCCGAAGGCCACGTCGATAACTTTCGCCAAGGTCTCTGTGGCGAGACAAAATGAATGTCGTTAGTCGAAAGGGGGTCAAAGTAGAGGTTGGATCTTCAAAAAGCAAACATTGTGCTTTGAGCGGGACAAGGGACACACATACGCATGACGAGCCCGTCGCCGGGTCGTTTGCTGGTGGGCAGACAGCGCCAGTACGCCCACATCTTCTCGGCCGTTTCGGCAAAAGCCTTGTGGAGGTTTGACATGACGGTTTTGAGGGTGTTGTGCTTGGTGTCGTAGAACATGAGGTGGGACTGGATTTTGAAGGCGTCTGGTGGCAGATGACGTAGAGGTTAGCTGGCGGGATTGAATCGAATTTCACATGAGTGAGGGCTAGCTATAGGGAAGCAAGGACGTAAGACGTACTCAAGACTCTTCTTTGGAAATTCTGACCAGGCTTGTTCCCGTAGTCCACTGTCAACGCATTGGAAACCACTGATGGCAAGGTTAGCTCACTGCGTGGCGCTGCTTCTCCTACCTCCTTGCGACGGTGACACGAAGAGCTTACCTGTATCTTTGACATGGCCTCGATCTTTGACAATGTCGAGGGTATCACAGTCGATTCCCAGTCCACAGTAAGGGAATCGAGCCCCATCCGGAAGCCTGGCTACTTTCGTACCATCAAAGTCCATGTCAAAGTTGACCAAGGTCTTGTTGGGGCTGACAGCGACGCCGTACTCGGGCAGCCCGCCGTGCATGACCCGGACGAACCTGCGCGCCTTGGCCTGGTCCGTCGTGATGAGGAGGAAGTCATCAATCAGCCTCAGGAGCAGATACTCTGCTCCCTCCTCTCCCTGCTCCTCCCCTTCGGACAGGAACGACAGATGCTGCGCCTCGAGGTCGGCGTAGAAATAGTTGCACAGAGCGGAAGACAATACAGAGCCCTGGGGGATACCCTTCTTCTGCCTGTAGAACTTCTTGCCCACCTTGACGAGGTTCTGCTTGATATGCGATGCCATCAGAGCCATCAGCGCGTCCGTCTCTAGCTCCTTTCTCATGGTATTTCCCACGAAGACGGTATTCTTGCGGTTTATGCCGAGACGCTCCTCCACTAGCCGCGAAAAGTCGGTGGTTTCGTTGCGGGTGACGGCGATGGAATGCCACCGCCGCGTGACTGTTGATACAACATTCTTCTGATGCCGAGAATCCAGTAATCCGGCTTTTACTTCGACGTGCTTCTTGATGATGTATTGCTCTTCAGTCGGAATGCCATCCATCAGCCTGATCACAGCCTCTTGAGGGATGGTGTCGAAGGCAGACTGCACATCTACCTTGGCAAAGTAGAATACCGGCCGATGGTCGCCAAATCTGGCATTGAAGGCATTCAGGCGATGGTAGAGATCACCCACCGAAAACATGGATGATCCGAGCCTGGAGGGATTGCTTTGCTGCAAAGGCCGTCAGTAACTAGACGAATAACACAAAGATTGGTTGATGTGGGTTACCGTTTCGAGCTTGAGCATGGAATGTACCGGGCCCAGTACAGTGTTTATGCTTGGGCCGAGAACAGAGCTCCTGCCCCTGATCTCTGTTCTCCTTCGAAGGTTCGTGATCGGCCGCATACCCTTTCCTTTGGGCAGAAGCCTGATACGACTGAACCCCAGTCGCCTGGAGTCGAGTATTGCGGTAGCCTGGTCAAGCTTGATCTCTTCAAACATGCTTGTTCGGAGAGTCCCCATTGCTGGTTCTGCGACGTATCGCCATACGTCATGCCGGAAGAAAAAGAGACGGTAGCGATGAGAGCTCGACTCTGTGATGTAGAAGTTGCTGCGCAAAAGGGGTATCAACAGCGAATCAAAAATGTAGTACAAAAATTCGTTCATAATCTCATGTCGTTTCTTCATGTCAGTCAAGCTGGTTTTCAGGCCTTTGAGACCTGGAGGCGCCAGCCACTCCATACTGGTAATCTTGATGAGCGCGTTAGACAGAATCCATTAGAACCGGAGGGCTGCTTACCTTGAGACCATCTGCGAGCTCACAAAGGGACATGGCCTCGAACCTCCGCAGTTTGACAAAGTGATCAACTTTCCTCAGTATTTGACTCTTGTTGTAAGTTCCGCCCTCACCAGTGCCCCACATCTCATCTGGTATGATCTTGGCCAGTACAGCCTGACAGAATGCGGAAACATGAGCTGCGGGAGTTGCCAAGTCAGTGATCGCATCAAACGTGGGCAGTAGCGGAGGCGCCGTGGGTTGGTGAAGCTTGGGGCGGCTATGTGCGCTATTCCTAGAGGCACCATATGTAACGGCTGTTTGGTTGTCTCTTCCCGCCACCGGTGCAGGATCAAGTCTCTTGGACTGCTTCGCCGGCTTCTTTGAGACATATTTCCGGGATTTGAAGTCAACGGCAGAAGGACAGTAATGCCGCAGTATCTCAGCGTAAGCACAACGACCGTGGAGAAGTTGTAGCCTCTGCACCAGTCGTTTTGTGTCTCCGCGCAGCCTCTTTGGAAGCTTGATATCCCGTCCCTTGAACGTTGACGAGATTTCGTCTTCGCGGAGAGTATAGTCTGCAAACTTTTGCGACGTCTTGGAGTGGTCAACTTTGGAGGTGAAGGCGTTGTGTAGGCCGAATTGTCGAGGGAAGATATACATCATGACTTTCAGCGTGTTGCGCTCGTTCGCCTGTGTGGTTCTTGATCTCTCTTCTTCGGTTGCCTGTTCTGGACACGATAGACGCGGACAACGACTTAGAACATCTGTCGATAGGAGTCAGGGGAAGTCTCTCTTTGCCTTTGGTTCAAATGTCAACTTACGTATGTGCCGCAGTCCATACTGAACCGTGCCCTTAGCGGTGAGAGCAGCTCGAGCGTAGAGCATACGATTTCTGATAAGGTTGATTTCAGACGGGAGCCGCTCCTGAGGCATGGGTGGCAGCGCTGTAGCATCTCCTTTTGTCTGCTTCTTGCTGT